TGGGCTCAAGTGATCCTTCTGCCTCAGCCTCCCATGTAGCTGGGACTACAGGCATGAGCCACTATGTTTGGCTAATTTTTTTTTTGGTATATATATTTTTAGTTGGTCAATTAATTTCTTTCTATTTTTGGTAGAGATGGGGTCTCGCTCAGGCTGGTTTCGAACTCCTGAACTTGAGCGATCTGCCTGCCTCCCAGAGTGCTAGGATTACAGGCGTGAGCCAACACACCGGGCCGGTTCTGTGTTTAAATTCCAGCACTACAGCTGCAGGAAATAAGGGTCTCCTTTAGGGCACACATAGACTATTCCAGTAATTTAGGCAGCTCTTGAACTGGAAATTCAAATCCCTGTGCTCATTCTTTTCTTTCACCACTTTGGTGACAATAGGAGCAACCAGCCAACTGCATTATATGTTAGTTTGCCAAAAGTGTTTGACAGTATCATATACACAGTGACCCAGCTCCTTGATGCTTCTAAGTGGTTTATTAGGAGTCCCTGGGGGAGATATTTAGCTTATCTCTATTGCTAGATCACACTTAGATCATCAGTGCAATCAGGAGGCCTGGTGCAGTGGCTCACGCCTATAATCCTAGCACTCTGGGAGGCAGAGGCAGGAGGATCACTCAAGGTCAGCAGTTCAAAACCAGCCTGTGCAAGAGCAAGACTCCATCTTTACTAAAAATAGAAAGAAATTAATTGGCCAACTAAAAATATATAGAAAAAATTAGCCAGGCATGATGGCACATGCCTGTAGTCCCAGCTACCTGGGAGGCTGAGGCAGTAGAATTGCTTGAGCCCAGAAGTTTGAGGTTGCTGTGAGCTAGGCTAAAGCCATGGCACTCTAGCCCGGGCAACAGAATGAGACTATCTAAAAAAAAAAAATCCAATCAGATTAGAGAGCCCATGCCAGAAAATTCATCCTGAAAATTTTGTTCCTCTGGAACCACTATTGTACCAAAAGTCTGTATTAGTTTGGGTTCTTCAGAGAAACAGAACCAATAGGAGATACATATATGAGATATATGTACAATTATGGGTCAATTAACAATGGAGATACATTCTTAGAAATGCACCGTTAGGCGATTTCATCGTTGTGGGAACATCAGAGTGTACTTACACAAACCAAAGCTGGTGCGCCTACTATACACCTAGGCTATACGCCTAGTGCTCCTAGACCACATAGCTGTACAGCATGTTACTGTACTGAACACTGTAGGCAATTATAACATGGTGTTATGTATTTGTGTATCTAACATGTCTAAACATAGAAAAGGTACAATAAAAACATGGTATAAAAGATAGAAAATGGCCAGGCGCGGTGGCTCACGCCTGTAATCCTAGCACTCTGGGAGGCCAAAGCGGGCGGATTGCTCAAGGTCGGGAGTTCGAAACCAGCCTGAGCGAGACCCCGTCTCTACTAAAAATAGAAAGAAATTAATTGGCCAACTAAAAGTATACATACAAAAAAAAAATTAGCCAGGCATGGTGGTGCATGCCTGTAGTCCCAGCTACTCGGGAGGCTGAGGCAGGAGGATTGCTTGAGCCCAGGAGTTTGAGGTTGCTGTGAGCTAGGCTGACGCCACGGCACTCACTCTAGCCTGGGCAACAAAAGTGAGACTCTGTCTCAAAAAAAAAAAAAAAAAAAGATAGAAAATGGTACAACTGCACTTAATGGTACAGGGCACTTAATATGAATGGCACTTACAGGACTGGAAGTTGTTCTGGGTGACTCAGTGAGTGAGTGGTGAGTGAATGTGAAGGCCTAGGACAATACTGTACACTGCTATAGACTTTATAAACAGTGTATACTTAGGCTACACTAAATTTATTTAAAATTTTTTTCTTTCTTCAATAATAAAGTAACCTTAGCTTACTGTAGCTTTTTTTATAAACTTTTTCATTTTTTTGTAATTTTTGATTCTTTTGTAATAACACTTAGCTTAAAACACAAATACATAATATAACTATACAAAAAATATTTTGGTTTTTTTCTTTTCTTTTTTTTTTAGAGACAGGGTGTCACTCTGTCACCCAGGCTAGAATGCAGTGGCATGATCATAACTCAAGCTCGTGCAGCCTAAAACTGTTGAATTCAAGTGATGCTCCTGCCTCAACCTCCCAAATGGCTGTGACTACAGGCGCACGCCACTGTGCCTGGCTAATTTTTCTATTGTTTGTACAGACAGGGGGCACGCTATGTTGCTATGTTGCTCAGGCTGCTCTTGAACTACTGGCCTCAAACGATCCTCCAGCCTTAGCCTCCCAAAGTACTGGGATTACAGGCCTGAGCCACTGCATGTTTCTTTATATTCTTAGTTTATAGTTTCTTTCTATAAGTTTTCAGAATTCTTTTTTTTTACTTTTTAAAATGTTTTGTTAAAAACTAAGATGCAAATATACACATTAGCCTAGGCCTACACAGGGTCAAGATTATCAATATCACTGTCTTCCACCTCTGCATCTTGTCCCACTGGAAAGTCTTCAGGAACAATAATACAAGCATGGAGCTGTCATCTCCTATGACAACAATGACTTCTTTTGGAACAACTCTTGAAGGGCCTGCCTGAGGCCGTTTTATAGCTAACTTTTTTATAAATAGAAGGAGTACACTCTAAAATAACAATTAAAAGTATAGTATAGGCCGGGCGCAGTGGCTCACGCCTGTAATCTTAGCTCTCTGGGAGGCGGAGGCAGGCAGATTGCTCGAGGTCAGCAGTTCAAAACCAGCCTGAGCAAGAGCAAGACCCCATCTCTACTATAAATAGAAAGAAATTAATTGGCCAACTGATATATATATAAAAAATTAGCCAGGCATGGTGGCACATACCTGTAGTCCCAGCTACTCGGGAGGCTGAGGCAGTAGGATCGCTTGAACCCAGGAGTTTGAGGTTGCTGTGAGCTAGGCTGACCCCACGGCACTCACTCTAGCCTGGACAACAAAGGGAGACTCTGTCACAAAATAAAATAAAATAAAAGTATAGTATATTAAATACCCAAACCAGTAACACAGTAATTTATTGTCATCATTATTACATACTATATGACTGGTAGCACAGGTTTGTTTACACCAGCATCACCACAAACATGTGAGTTATATGTTGCACTATGATGCTAGGACCGCTGCGATGTCACCAGATCATGGGAATTTTTCAGCTCCATTATAATCTTAGGGGCCAGTGTCCTACATGTGGTCCCTCGCTGACTGAAACATTGCTATACAGTGTATGACTGTATATGTATTTGTTGTGTAGTGTATAAATATGTGTGTGTACTGGGTAGCAATATGTTTCTTACAGAAGATCCCAAGAAAATTTTAAAAAGAAAGAAGTCACAGCCCTAGAGAAAATCCTCCTGTTGCTTAAAGGAGAACGTCTACTGCAGCAATGTTCTAAGAAGAAATAAATAGAAAACGATCTAAGTATTCCTCAATATGACCATGAAAAATTAATTGTGGTATAATCATATAATGGAATGCTAAATCACAGAATGAACAGATTAGAACTACATGTAACAGTATGAATACATCTCAGTAAAAATGTTGAGCATAAAAACAAGTGGTAAATGTTACATTCATTGTAATACCATTACTATAAAGTTTAAAAACATGCAAAACATTACTATATATCATTTATATACTATATATACACAGTATGCAAAGAATTAAAATAGGCATAGGATTGATAAATTCCAAAGTCAGCAAAGTGGTAATCTTGAGAAGAGAAGGAGGGAAATGACCTTAGAAAGGGATATACCAGGCTCTTCAACTGTATATGTGGTTTGTTTCTTAACCTAGGGAAGTTATAGAATTATCTACTTTTCTATATGAATGAACTTTTTTTTTTTTTTAATTTTGCCCAAAAAGGAAGGAAAGGGGAGCAAGGAATTTGACAGACCTAGGTTTAAATGCTGTCGCTTACTGGTAAAGGAACTTGGCAAGTTCCTTAATTTCTCCAAGCCTCTGTATCTGTAAGAGGACATGATAATAATACATATCCTGTTGCACAGCCAGATTAAGTGAAATAATATGGATAAAAGTGCTTTTATAAGCTGTAATTGTACAAGAATGCTCTGCAAATTCCAGTTATTAAAGAAACCTTTACTGTTCCGTTGTTACACACTCTCATAGAACCTTCATCCTTTCCTTCCGCGCACTTACCTTCACTTGCAAATTACACATTCATTCCTGCTATTAACTGACTGTGCATCATCCCACCCCATAGCTTTGGGTTCATGATTATATTCCCAAACCTGACACAGTCCCTGGCTCCCACTAAATGAGCCTTTTTAGTGTGATCTGAACAGGATTACCTGTAGGAAGTAAGAATGGGAAGCAGGGTGGGAAGAAAGGACTCTTATATTCTGATTCATGTCACACGAACATGTATTACTTAAATAGTGACAAAACTAGTTGGATTTTTTAATTAAAATGATAGTGTTAAACAGGCATTTCTTCATTTCATCCCCTCTCAGGGGAAGGTCACGTTTTGCTATGGGAAATTGCACGGGAAAGGGATCGCTGAAATAAAAGTAGCAGGCAAATAGTGTTCCTCGGGCATCGCTCTCCCCAGACCCCTCGGGACTGAAGGCGGCGAGCCCAGCGGCTTAAGCACTTGAGAACAGCCGGGGCGTGCCGTTAGGAGGCGCTCGCGAAGCGGCAGCAGGAATTCCCGCCTCTCCGTTACATGCCCCAGTAACCCCAGCGCGCCGGCGACCGAGAGTAACCTCGCTGCCGGGTGACGGCCCCCCCGCCCCGACTCTCGCCTGCTCCCGCCTCGGCCAATGGGAAGGCCGCGAACGAGCCGGCCGGACGCTAGCGGACCGACTCCTCCCCCGAGCAGCTAGAACAGAGTTGTTCAATCACCGGGCCGCGAGCTTGGACTTCTCCGATGGCAGCCCTGGGTGTCGAGCCCAAGCCCCGCCCGCCCTCAGGCCTGTCCCGTTTTCGTTCCTGGCAGGAGTCACCTTTGCCTTACAAACGCTCAGACCCGCCCTCTTCCTACCTTGCTGCGCTAGGCCCCGCCCTTTGCTCGGATCGACCAATAACGGGGTGAGCCTGGGGCCGCTGGGCGTGCCTGCAGCCAATGCGCACGCCGTGGGCGGTCCCCGGGCCGGAATTGGGGGCGAAGCTACAGCGTTTTGCCCACATTCGGGGCGCGAGGAGCCGGGGGTCCCTGGGGGGCGCCCGCAGTTAAGATGGCGTCCGCAGTGGAGGGGGACGTGGGATCGGCGGTGGAGCTGGTGGGGGTGCTGGGGCCGGCTTTCCAGGAGCTGAGCCTTAACAAGTTGGCGACGTCCCTGGGCGCGTCAGAACAGGCGCTGCGGCTCATCATCTCCATCTTCCTGGGTAAGGACCCTCCTGCCTCCCTCCGCCCCCTCGCGGAGTCCCCAGGGAATTGGGGAGCACTGGGGACCGGACCCCCCTCTCTTCCCGGAGCCACCCCCGAGGGCTTGGTGGGGTGCGGGTGTGAATCCTGAAGCCCCCCTGTCCGCTGTTGAGGGGAAGGCACAAGTCCTGCCTCAAGTCTGGGGGCGCTGTGCCCTCTGAACCTCTTCACTTTGCTCTTCGACCCCCGCTGTGCCCTCTGGCCCCGCGTTCCGCGTCCCCACCCTCTCATCATGCCATGTTCCACCCTTGCCCCCACGACCTATCTTTGCCACTCTCTTGAGTTCCACTTTCTGTCCATGTGTCCTGCTGTTATTAATAACACCCCACATACACACGCGCGCGTCTCATCGGTAGGCGTAGGCTACCTAACTTAGACCTTGGGGCCTTTTTGACCCATATTCCATACTTATTCAGAGTCTCTATTTTGTGCATTACTGGCTTATGTTACACTTTTGTGTCTTTTCTGTTCCAATTCTAGTATTTCCTTCTTATACCATGTTGCTTTATTTTTTTCCTTAGACACCCACCTGTCATTTACCCTGGGATATCATTTTAATACTAGGCTTGGGAAACAGGTCTGACAACCCCCTTAAAATAATCCATGCTATTCCAAGAGTTTATTATCCGTATGGTTCAAAGGATATGGTGCATTGGAATTTATGCCACAACAAGCTGTATGATAACTGGTTTATAGGCTTTTTTATAGCATCCTTACTCCATAGTGTCTGAGTATGGAGGCAACAGGGTACAATGGTAGAAAGTGTGGGCTTTGAAGGCAAACACATCAGACCCAGCCTTGCTGCCGGGCACAAACTGAGAAGTCCTAGGCAAGCTCCTTAACCTCTCCTGGCCTAATTTTCTTTTCCATGAAATGAGTACAACAATGCCTACATGTAGGATTGCTGTAAAGTTCTGTAGGAATTCCAAGGTCAAGATCAGAGATACATAAGTCATTTGAGTAGCTGGAAGGTTTTATGAAGGTTATAGAACTTTAATGATTAGAGTGGGGAAGAATTAAGCAAAAACTAAAGTAATGATAAGGAAACAGGCCTGGGGCAAGAGCAGTTGCACATCTGCCCAACTTTATCTCAAACGTGGTAAGTAGTTTTTCCCCCCGTAAGTAGTTTGAGAGAAAGTTGGGCACATGTGCTTTAAATATCAGAAAGAAATTTGGAATTTATCCAGTTGTCAGTAGAAACATTGACATCGTTTGGAATTTATCCAGTTGTCAGTAGAGACATTGACATATGATATCACCAAAGGGTGTTAATCCAATCTAGATAATGGGAGAGGCATTAATTCATATTTAAATAACCTTGGCTAATAGCAGTATTTGCCTATTACATATCAAACCAAGATGATCTTCCTTTCTTCCAAATAAAGGTCACCTTTTCCCTTCCCTATAGTCTTGTAAGATTTTAAAGGTAGAAAGATCCTTAGGTTGTGCAATTTGTTCAGTGTTACCCAGGTATAACCCAAATTTATTGACACCGCAATCTAGGTTGCGGTTTTGTGTTGTTTTTTTTTTTGAAGTTTCTTTTAAATTTTGTTTTATATACAAAGAGCTAGCATGGTCTCTTTCACTTTGTGGGTGCCGTGGAAAATCCATTCAAAGAAGATCACTTAGTCCAACTTAATGAAACTGATGTCCTTCCCGTACTGACGGAAACACTGGCGGCACATATTGAGGCCGTGTTTCCGGGTCAGACCGTGCTGGTTTGAGCAGACGCGAAAGAGCGAGAACCCTGGCCGTTTTCACGGGTGGCTCCAATAGAGCTGCAGGTGACCCCTTCTTGCTCTCAGGAGGGCAACGAGGCAAAAGCCCAATCTAGGGTTCTTTACACCAGCATTGAACTTCCTACTCTTTCAACCTTGTTTCTGACCCAGTTATTTGTTGAGATTTTAATTAGCAATTAATAGTGTCTACATCCATTAGTTAGGAAGCTCACTCTTGGTTTCTGAACTATAAATTGACAGTATAACAAAAGTAGCATCAAATTATGAGGGGCAACCTGTTAAATGGAGCTAGGGCTGGAATTAGGACTTGGAATTTAACTTTTGTGTGCTGATATAATCAAATACTGCCTGTGGACTACTGCTATGTACTGTCATGGGACACACAGCTGACTAGGAAATTGTTTTGCCCATATCCTACCCCTCTTCTCTTATCTTCTCTCGTTACTATCAATCATCAAAGTAATATACAGTTGGTGTAATACATCTGCCATGCTCCCAAGCCCCCTTGCCCATTCTAACACTTCCCATATCACCCCTTCCTATCTCACACATGCTATTGTTCAGTAACTCACAGTATTTCTCATTTTTAGATCAACTTGGGGCTTCATGTTGCTTTATGTCAAGTATAGCTCATTCATGTGGATATGTAAGATTGTATTTCTAGGCATAGATTAAATACACAGATATAAATATAAACTGATAATCTTGAAATGTCCATAGAAGAAGGTGTACATTTTGTATTATCACTTATGTTTATCGTAACTTAGCCTTTCAGCAATGGAGTGCCCGGTTCCTGAGCCCAGCTCTCTCAGGGAACTGGAAGACTAGAGGAAATCCTTGTTAGAAGTCCCAAGAAGGCCTGTAGTCCAAATTTCCGATCCACTTTCTACTGATTAGAGATTAATTTGGGTTAAAATTACCTCTCTCTAAATGCCCCAAGGGAAGCGTCAGATATATATCATTCATATTTTTAACTGTCAATAATTTTTAATCAGATAGTCTCATTACTATTTTCTTAACATCTTACTTTCTCTGCTTAAGTTCTGTGGTTTGATCTGGGGGTGGGGCACAAAGCATCAAAGCAGTAGCTTTTAAACCTTTTTGACTGGGACCCATGGTAAGAAATACGGTTTATGTTGTGACTCAGAACACAACATACATATATGTGTATATATATTTCAACCAATACATGTATATACATACATATGTATTTGAAACTTGTTTCAGGAAACAATACTTGCCCTTATTATTTTATTTTTTAGTATTATTTATGACTAAGTTGATTTCTTGACTTATTATTAATGAGTTATAACAGACAGTTTGAAAAATCCTGAGTTAGAGGCTGTTACTATTTCAAGGAAAGAGTAAGCTTATGTGGACCACTACTATGGAGTATTTTGAACAACCAGAAGACTCTGTTAAAGGGACTCGTGCATGTTTGTACCGTGTGTGACACAGTCGCAAGGAGTCTGGGGGAAGGGTACTGAAGAGGAATTTTGCTATGAGCCTGCTGCTGGCAAATGCTACTGGAAAACATCTCCCCTTCCACAGCTTGTGTCTCATCACTCCTTAATATAATTAATGACAATACATTTAATAAAATGTTCCTGCTGTGGGTGAAGCAGTATTCTCGACCCTGCAAGGGCAGGGGTAGTGGGAGCAGTAGGAGCAGTGGGAGTGCAGGAGCCAGGCACTCAAAGGTATTGTGGTCTGTGAGGGGCAGGCTGTGGGCATGAGATAAGCGCACTCATAACCCCAATAAACGGCAGAAACACAGGCGCCGTAAGAGGACAAAGCTTTATAAAATTGACAGATGGGACATTTCATAAATAATGAACCTTGAAAGTTGAGTAGACTGAGATGGTAAGACTTAAGAATAGCATGAGCATAAAAGCACTGAGGCAGGAACATGTGGTGACATGCTCAAGGAATAGCAAGTCTCCAGGTCAGCTAAATAACAAAGTGGTGGGAAACAAGGCTGGGACTCTATAGGTTGTGGAATCTTGGAGGCCAAGGTAAGGAGTTTGTACTGGAGGGAATGATAAGGAACCATTGGAGACTTTTGAATGGGGAGTATTGTGACTTGAGCTGTATTTTGCAAGATAAAACAGCCACAGGTGATTTGAAGCTGGCATAGACCAGAGGTAGGGACACAAAGAGAAGGGACAGTGATCTAGATGGGAAGTTATAATGACTTGGAGGCAAGGTGGGTGGTTCACTGAGAGGGGGAAGTAGGGACCTCCCATGGGATATTCTAGCAATACCAACTCTTGAAAAAAGGTAGAATCTGCAAGCACCGTCACCCATATAGCCTCTCTTGCCAGAAACCTAAGAATCAGACTTGTCGCCTCCCTTTCACACACTCCCCACATCCCAGTCACCAAGCCCTATCAATACACCTGCAAATTATGTCTCAAATTCATCTACTTTTCTCCATCACCACAGCCACCACCCATCTGTCATCAGAACCACTGAGTAGCCTCCTGACTGGTCTCTAATTCTGTTCTTGCCCCCTCCAGTCCACTCTCCAAAAGCAGCCAGAGTGATCCGATCCTGTGCCTCTCCTGCTCAGAACCCTTCAGGGGCTTCCAGATGTGGCTGGTAAGCCCCTGCCTGATGCTCCAGCCTCGTCCCATGCAAGCTCACTACCTTTTAGCCACGTGGCCTTTCAGTTCCTCAGGAAAGGCGTGAAGCCCTCCCTGGCTCAGGGCCTTTGCACAAGCTGGCCCACGGCCTGGGGGTGGTCTTCACTCCCTCACTCACCTGACACTCACTGACCCCTTTTCATCTCTCTGGTCTCAGTTGAAATTGTCACTTCTCTGAGAGTTCTTTCCTGACTCTCATTTTAAATTATGTCCCCTGTTACACTTTCTCACAAGGACTGGAATTTCTTCCCAAGTACATTAATATATTACAATTTGTAATCATGTATTTGTAGATGAAGGTAGAAACCTTG